AACCCCCTGGGCACTGGTCAAAGGCAAAGATGCCACAGGCGCATGTCCCTGCGGGAAATCAGGCAGCTGAGGTGGGCCATAGCTCAGGGGCACCTGTCTTGGGCCCAGCTGGTTCCTTAGTCATGGTCATGGGAGCCAGGGAAGAAGGGACTGGGGGGTGGTGCTAACTGCAAGGGCCACTTTTGCTTTGGCATGGGGTGCTTCCTGTAGTGACAACTCCCACCCCCCTTCCCAGGTGGGCCTGGCCTCTATCAAAGGCTTCTGGAAGACCTTAGATGGGAGTGGTGGCCAGGCCAGAGGGAGGTAGAAGGTCCTGGTCTTTGCTTTTTTATCCCAAGCAGCTTGATTCCCTAAATCAGCCAAAAGTGGCCCCTAACTGGCTCAAGGGGATGGAATGGGGGTAGGGGAAGCCCAGGTCCAGGAGGGAGTGGGAAATGGTCAATTCTGAGGCCACAAACATCAAAACAAAGGCAATCTAGTCTCTTTCTGGGGAAGAGGTTCTGAAACTTTCCAGCTCTCTGGCAGACAGCACTCTCAGGAGACTAAGGGGTAAGGGTCCTACCAATGAGGCAGGCTCCTCTTGTCCCCAGTCAACACCACACCCACCCTCCAGCTTCCATGAAGAAGCTGTGGATTTTGAGGCCAGAAAAGCTGAGCTGTGGGGAAGGTGGCTTTCACAGAAGCGTGGCAGAGTCTAGAGAACTAACTGTGGGGACCAGGTATACGCCCAGGCCTGTGAGAGCAGCCGGACAGGCATGGACTGCATGTAGTGGTTCTCCTGGTGGCACGGTGATCGAAGCGAGGGATGTGGTGTGGGCAAGGGGCGGGGTGGTGAGTATTGGTCAGTGTCTGGTCATTTCCGACTGAAGAGTGAGCCCAAGCAGAACCACGCCAGCCACAGTCATGCCTGTCAGGAACCAGCGGTTGAAGCGCTCCTGGCCTTTCCTGCTCTCTGCTGCTGCATTGTTCCCATAGAGTTCCACAAAAGTGTCCTGCAGGGGGAGAGAAAGAAGGGGACGTGTGAGTCCTCAGAGAGCAAGGAGGGGGACACAGGCAGATAAAGGACACCACATGCATGGAATAACATTTATGATTTAAAAAACCATACTATCAGCTCCCACTCCAGTCTGGTCAGAGGGTTAGGGGCTACCCTCTTTCTTGACCCCCTAAACTGGGGTGACCAATCAATTTTACTGCTAAACAAACAGGGGCAGAAAAGCAAAGAGTTTAGTCCACAGTCAGGCAAGAGTGCTTACTCACTCCAGAACCCTAGATGGAAGTAAAAAGACAGGAAGGTTTTGGAGCTGACAAGAAGCCAGGTGCATGGAGGAGAGGATGGTGGGAGAGGATGGTGCTGGCCTGAGTTGGAAGCCACAGAAGCTTGGAGGCTCAGAGTGCTGGGGATGCCCCTGAACTCCAGTTTTCTACTTCTGAGAAAGGGAAAGAAGTGAACAGAGGGACTCAGAAGGGGAGCACTCTAGCTGAGGCTCTTCCTCCCTCTGGGGGGAGCCTTGGAAGGGAGAAGTGATGAGTGGGAAGCATAGGGCAGAATGGAGGAAAACAAGTGATGCAAGACTAAGAGGGTCTATGTGGTTCTGGGCCAGAGAAGCCAGGTCAGGAGGGGAGCACATGACATTGGGGAGGAAGCACTGTGATCTGGGGTCTGGCTGGTGGAATTACCCCGTCTGCTGGCAAGAAGAAGGGAGCTTGGAGCACACTGAAAATGAGGAAGCTTTGTACCCACTTGGCCTTGAATCCTCCCAGACAGGATGGCAATGTGGGCCCTCTCCCTTCTCGGACTAGAAAGCTGGGTCTTTGCTGGAGGAGGACCTGAGGAAGGCCATCGGATTTGTCAGTGCTGGAACCAGAAGTGTGTGCCTGGTGTGTCTGTGGGACAGGCAGACCCTGACTGCTCCCAGGGGCCAGGCTCTCAGCTCTGGAGCAGGAGCTCCCTCACAGGGCCCAATGTGTCACCTGTTCCAACTGGCCATGGGGGACTATTTCCTCAGACAGGCCCCAAGACCTCCAGTTGGCTGCAGACCCAATCTGGCCAGTCTGCCCATTTCTGATGCCTGCCTGGTCACTTCTGGTCTATCCTCTCACTCCTCACCTTCACTCAAGTCCCTGCTCCCCACTGAGAAGCTTTGGAAAAGTGGAGCTCAATTCATGGTACTTCTGGGTTTCACGACCTCCAAAAGTATTTCCCTTCAGTCTAGCAGGCCCACTTAGAAGCACTACTTGTTTCTGGAACCCTGGGACCTAGCAGAGTGCCACACGCACTAGGCTGCCAACTGGATGGGGAAGAAGATACAACATTGCTTAAGCCATTAGAGAAGTGACAGTGACCAGTCAGCCCTTGCCACAAAGCTTACAGTCAAGCTGGAGGAAAAAAGGCTCTCCACCAGACCATGTCACCCCTGCACTCTACCTTCCCAAGACTTTCTGTCACACTTGGAATAAAGTCCCCACTCCTGACCAAGGCCAGCTAGGTTGAAAGTGTGCTGGCCCCCTTTCAGCTTTGACCTCTTACAACCTTACCCTTTGCTCAGGTTAACCAGTCACACTGGCCTCCTTGTTTCTGAACACCTCCTTCCTCAGGAACTTACTGTTCTCACTGACTGGAACACTGAACTTGCCTCACCCTTCACTTCATCCAGGACTCTGTTTACATGCCGCATCCTCACATAAACCTCCTCTGAAGATGCCATCTAAACAAAAGGCCACTCGCAACTGTCTCTGTTTATTAATTTCTGGCTTAACCTGACTTCTAAGCCCTTTAAAAGCATCAGATTCTAGACTGTGTTTTGGGTTTTCTCCTGTAATAGCTGTGTCTGGATGAGGGCAGAGATTCATCCTATATACCCACTGCCCAGGGAAGCATCTGGCACATGATGGTGCTCAATAAGTAGAGGGGCAGAATAAATGCACCTCATGCCTACCAAGTAGCTGGTGCTGTCATCTCCTTTCATCTTCATCAGAGTCATGACAGGTAGAGAAATGTGAGCTTCAATTATCACACACAAGATGACTAGGGTTGTGACTACTGCTGCCTAAGGTTTCTGAGATAAAAGGTGGCAGTGCCCGGATCAGAACACAGGTCTGTCTGGCTCCAAAGTGAGTGCTTCTATGGCAGACACTTCCCTCAGGGGGGTGAACGGGCTGCCCTGTTAGTAAAGGAGAAAGGCTTCTGAGGAAAAGGACACAGAGGTGGCATGGAGGTGGATTCTGTCCAGGGAGAAGAGGGGGTGGGAACTAGTGGTGGCAGCCAATCTGTTTGACTTTGTTGCTGCCCAGGCATGGTTGGCATGGATATGCCACCCCAAGTCTCCCCCACCATCCTGGCCAGTTTCAGTGGGTCTTGGCAGACAAGCAATTTCTTAAACGAGGTTTACTTTTCTTTTGGTCCCAAGTAAAACAGACTCAGGTAGTCATAAAAGGGAATTGATGATCTGTGATAAGGAAGAGTCCCAGGCCATTGGAAGCACGGGAGGAGGCAGGCCATGGCCAGAAGACCATGATTATCCCAAGGGGCTAAAAGTCCCACAAGAAATCAGGGACCAAAAAAAAAAAAAAGAAACCAGGGACCCTGGGGCTATAGCCAAAGTGGGAGAGGCCTGGCTCCCTTGATGGGAACTTTCCTCAAGCAGAAGACTGGCAGCCACAGGAAATGTTCAGCTCAGGGCTGGGGTGGAGTAAACAGGCCCTGTTCCCACAAGGGCACAAAGCACTCACTGTCCAGGAACAGTCCTTCCAGGGTGGGGGAACAGTCTCATTTCAGTCCCAAGGAGAACAAGCCCTGGCCCGCCCAGCCCCCATGAGTGCATTCCTGGCAGAGAACCTTCATCTCTGCGTCAGGAGCTCCTTTTCCTGGGAAGGGGGAGAAAGAGTCCCAAGGGCCACAGATTCTGGGGATTGCTTCTGCAGAGAGCACAAGTGAAACGGGGCATGCTGTTCCAGGGCGGGTGCCTAAGAGGCGGTGGTGTGGGTATATTTAGCCCACGATTCACACGACACACTTGGAAATAAACACAGCCATTTTCTCAGCGGGCGGCTGCTCTGGATAAATAAACAGGATTGGGGAGCAGCATGGGGCTGAAAAAGCAGAGATAAGCAGCACCCACTGCTCCTGTATGGCTCCCACTGGTTTCAGCCAGGCCTGGCATGGTGGGCAGGGAGATGGCAAGTAGGCGGAGGCTGTGGGGAGAGCTCTGATGTCATGGAGGTTTCCAGGAAACTCGGGTCCAAGAGCCCGTCTGCTTCCTTAGCTTGGACTGAGACAAGGTGGGGGGAAGGTGCTCTTTGGAACTGCTGCCATGTGGATTCATTTAAGGGTTTCAGGGCTCCTGGAGGGAAGGTGACCAGTGATGATCTCCATTGGGGGAGCTGTTAACCCCCTAACTGTCAGAGACCTCTCCCAAACTATGAAAGCAATGATGTCAGTTTAAAGGTGCGCCTGTGATTCAAACCATGGTCTCTTCAATCACTTGCTTACCTTTGAGAACTAGACATTGAATAAAGATGAAAGAAGAACTGATGCCTTGGAGCTATGGTGTTGAGGAGTACTGACTATCCTATGAATTGCCAAAAAGAATAAACAAGTATGTCTTGGAAAATAGTGCAGCCAAAGTGCTCCTTAGAGACAAGGATGGTGAAGCTTGGTCTCTCATACTTTGGACATGTAGTTAGGAGGAGCTATTCCTTGGAGAGTGACATCATACCTGGAAAGACAGAGTGCTAACAAAAAAAAAAAGGAAGACCTTCAATAAATTGGATTGATAGAGAGATGGAGAGATGATAAGGATGGCACAGGACAGGAAAGGGGATGTGTTGTTCATAGGGTCGTTTTGAGTCGGCTGTACCCGACTTGATGGCACCAAACAACAACAGGCAGCAAAAGTCAGCAGGCTAACTGACCTGCCCATCCGGGTCTCCTGACCTGGCATGGATGGAGTCCTTCAGAGCTGTGGGTCAAGAATGAGGTCCCTAGAGAGCTTCCTCCAATGCTTCAGAATTCTTAACAGTGTAGGGCACCTAGAGGTGCCAAGGCCTGCCCCAAATATCCTGTGCTTCATGTCCATTTCTTTGCCAACTGTTTTCTAACTGGTCATGCTCCCTATGTCTCCTGTTCTCATTCCTACTCCGTCTAGAAGACTTCAATTTGGACTCTAATCTTTCAAGAAGCCTTTGTCCCCCAGACTGCCACAAAGATTGTCTTCTTCCTGCTCCCAGGGGCAGGAATGACTTTCATTCATTTCACAAATATTTACTGAGTACCTACTATGTGCCAAGCCTGACACTGGAGATAACAGTGGCAAAGAAAACAAAGTAAGGCTCTGATTTCACAGACCTTAGATTCCACACATTCTCAAGTGGGATGATAATCACCTCTAAAGGGGAAAACCATTTTTTGGAAGGAAGTGAATATTGACTGTCTATTACAGTAGTTTGTGGAGCCACAGCAAATACACAGTTTGGCTGTGGTTTTCAGATTTCATGGGAGAGGGAGAACAAGTAAGACAAAAATGTCCAAAAAAGCAACATGGGAATCGAGAGAATGCTGGGGAAACTGGTGTAGCCCAAGTGGACAGGGAAGGCCTCTCTGAGACAGTAAAGTTGAGCTAAGATCTAAGTGGACAGTGATCAAAAGAAGATTTACAAACCTTAAGAGTACGTTCGAGCAGAGGGAAAAGGCCCTGTGGTGGGAAAGAGCAGTAGCCTATGACCCGGAGAAGTTAGGGGAGATGGTAAGCCTTGTGGAGTGGTGAGGTCCAAGTGCCAGCTGCCTAACCATTCTACCAATACAACTCTACTCTAAAATACAGGCGCTGCTTGAATCTGACTAGTGCTCCAATTTCTATTTTTCTCGATCATATGGCCAGCTGCACCTCTTGCTGGTGGTGGCCGCGGAGTAGATCTAACTGACCCACAGTGCCCTCATTTGTTAAATAATAAAAGAATAACGGCTGTGATTCTGGTAGTTGACCTGTATACA